ATATAAGCGTTTAAAATTATATATATATATATATATACTGAGGGACCTTCTAATTCTAGCAAAGCTAAGGTATTGGCTGTATAGCATTAGTTGCTCACTGGTTGGTTTAATTTGGGAAAAGTTAAGTTGGCACCTCTTTAAGATAACATCCCCTTGCAAAGTGAACAGCCTTTTTTTCTTTAGTAAATCAGCCCCATAGTCTAGTTAAAGGAGAACTATGAGATGAGTGATTTCCACTCACCTCATAGTTCTAAGCCGACCTGTGACAATGAGACTGTCACAGGTCAGCTCAGTAGATCGGGAGGTGAGGGAACACATACCGGGTTCCCTCACCTCTCTATCTCTAGATTCCCCTCTCCCTGCTCCGATCTGCCAGCGCTGACTGGCGGAACGGACGGGGGAGGGGGCGGGTACAGCTGGCTCTGCCTCTAGATAGGCAGAGCCAGCTGTCACTCACGCAGCTGGGCGGATCCCGTCATCTACGTCGGGATCCGCTCCAGGTGCGGCATCTCAGTATACCGCGAGCTGTAGCTCGCGGTATACTGAGCTTAGGGTAACGGGAGGACGCTAGTTTGTGTCCTCCCGTTACCCTAAGGAGAACTATGGGGAAAAACACTGACCCCATAGTTCTCCTTTAACTGACGCCTGCTGATGTGCTAAATTTTGCTTGGTCATTTAGGTTTCAATAACCTCTAGCATCAAAAGTATCAAAAGGGTCAACTTAAAGAGGTGCCAACTTACCTTTTCCCAAATTAAACCAACCAGTGAGCAACTAATGCTATACAGCAAATACCTTAGCTTTACTAGAATTAGAAAGACCCTCAGTTTACCAAAATCAAAACTCTTTGTATTGTGTGGCAGCGAAAATCTAAAGAGCACCTTACAGGGGCATTGAGAGTGTACTTCCTAAAGTGTATGCAACTTCTTCTCTCTTGCTGTATAATTTCTCAAATTCAGAAAGTTTGGTGGCTTTCTGCATGTAAGAGACCTCGAGGTCTTCAGTGGGAAGTGCTTGGAATAAGATATATTTTACCTCAAGCAGGGTAACCCAGATCATCAAACAAAATCACTTTAAAGAGAGTGGGGTAGGCTGGTACATTACAGCAATAGCTATTAGAAAGGTTAATGTATCAAGCTGGTAGTTTGTGTTTCCTGCCATCTACAAGTTTAAAGTAACCCTGTACTCCATTTTTTACTTTTAAAAGTAACTACTCCCTAAGAGCAGACACCACACTATCTATACTATTACTTCTACTAGTCTTTTTACCTGCTTATAGGCATCAAGTATTGTCTTTTGTCTTTTATTTTAAAATAGACTTGAACTCTGGAAACTTCGCAATTTTTGCCTTTTTGTGCATTTTGTGGAATCACTGCAACTGATCTTTTACAAAATACTGACTTGTTCTATACTAGCTTTTTGTGTGATGGCAACTTGATGGAGGCAAGACTTTTTTTGCTCATGTCAGAGCTGTCCACTGATGACTTGCCATCTGATCACTCATGGGTGAATATACAAAAAACAACAGGATAGGTTCACAAAGCACAAATCCACAGAATAAATTAAGCAGAGCCTGTGAGATGCTGTACATGCAGTTCAAATTCCTCTCCAGCAAGCAGCACATTAGTGATATCATAGCTAACCCCTGTCCCTTATTTGGAGGGACTATCCCTCATTTGGGACCAAATCCTTCTGTCCTCTTTATTCTCAGTTGTCCCTCTTTTTGGTCTGATGTTTTGACCTCTATAAAAAAAACATTATTTGACTAGTAGAAGTGTTAAACTGTGCTAAACCTTTCACCCGACCTTTGAATTATTGTGTTTGTCAGCCAGTGTAATTGAAAAATGCACTTGAGGGTTTTAAATAATTTTTTGCTTTATAATTATTGTTTGACCATGTGAGTGGGGGCATGCCAGGGGTGTGTCCTTAATCTTGGTTTAAAGGTGTCCCTATTTCTCATCTCAGAGTTATGAGGTATGGTGATATCAAATAAGACACGCAGTCACAGACTCTTACAGCCTCTTACACTGCATATATACAGCTATAAGCACAGGAGTGGTTAGGCATCCCTAAATACCAGGAAGTGCACCAATATTTTTCAGAAATAATTCAAGACAAAAGATTTATTTTCCTGGGTACCACCTAGAGAAACTGAACACACTTAGATGCTTCCTATAACACAGAAAATCTTCATAAGTTCAGTTCCACTTTAAAAGTGTTAATGAACTATATGATAGCTTAATCTTTCACTTTTGACTGAAGTGTACCATGAATTATATTGCTTGGATAAAGTGTAGCTTTAATTTCTGTCGTATTATGGTGCAAACATCATTGTCACCCTTCCATTGTTCACAATATATTTTTTATGACTCTAAATGCTTTACAGCTGAAACCAAAGAAGCAATGTGATACTATGGAGAAATGTTCTACTAATTACACTGGGGTTTTCCAAGAACACAGTTATTGTATCTCCAAGGAAGCTAGCAGAAAGAGTAGTTCACACGCATGTGTGCATTGTAGGTGTACTATAGAAATATATGTGTGAAGTCCTTACATAATGTAAACTTTTTCATCAAGTGAAAGAAGCAACTGATCTCTCATTCTAGACAGATCTTAATAATGGTATTTGATACAAAGCTGTTACTATTGTCATGTCCGGTCTATTGATTACATCAGATACCAGTTAGACTTTGGCAGTTTAACAATAAACGAGTGTATCAAGCTCTTTAGAGCATTGCACTCTCCTCTGCTCTTTGTTGTGTGGAAGCATCCCAGTTCAGGCCACTGAATTAGCAGAACAATTAGTCTCTTTACAGCAGACAGCACTGTCTCTGAAGAATGTTTCGTGGATAAGACTTTTAGGACATTTTGTGCAAAATGGAAGACAGTGGGGTACTCAAGATAAATAAATGAGTATTTTATAGACAGTGTCGACTGTTGTTTACAAGGGACTCTGGAAAGGGGGAACCTGCTTATATCACTGCTAGAAAGGGTTCCTGTCAGAAAAAAATAGTGCCAAGTAAACCTGCATGAAAACAATTGCCCACATATACTCAATTTGAAAAACTTACCCATAAAGAATGGAAGAATGTTTCTGTACTTTCTGAATATAATTGATATTGCAGATTCTGTTTTAAATAGGAACAACTACAGTTATGGACATTTTTTTTATCTAGAGGTCATGCAATATATATATATATATATACACAGTATACAGTATATATATATTATACTACAGTCGATATCAACTTTATGTTTTTTTTTCCCAGCTGTCAAATTTGGACGAATGTCAAAAAAACAGCGAGACAGTCTGTATGCTGAAGTTCAGAAGCACCAGCAGCGGTTACAAGAACAAAGGCAACAGCAGAGTGGAGAGGCAGAGGCTTTAGCCAGAGTATACAGCAGTAACATCAGCAATGGTCTAAGCAATCTCAACACTGAAACAGGAGGCACTTACTCGAATGGACATGTCATTGACCTGCCAAAGTCTGAGGGTTATTACAGTGTGGATTCTGCACAGCCCTCACCAGACCAGTCAGGCATAGACTTAAGTGGAATGAAACAAATAAAGCAAGAACCTATTTATGACCTTACGTCCGTACCAAACTTATTTATGTATAGTTCTTTCAACAATGGACAGCTCTCACCTGGAATAAGCATAAGTGATATTGGTAAGTAGATTTTACTAAGCAGCCAGAAAACAGCTTTGAGAATTAAAAAAAAAAAAAGCTGCCATCTTTTTACTGGTGCAACTACTTCTACTGATTTTGTATTCTGTCTGGACCATAAATAAATATCCATCTAAGTGTCACATCTTTAAACTACCTTAATTGTTATTGCAAATGGGATAAAAGATGTATATGAGGTCTCATATACAACTTAGATTAAATACGTCCTTCTCTTTGTGTTCTGTTCTTCACTCAGTGAATGCACTATGGGCTAAATGCGTTTCAGTTCCAGGGTTGTAGTAGCTAACACAAATACTACAGTACTAAATTGTATAGACAGAGGCATTGGACACATACATAATATTTGTATTTACCCTTGGTCCATGTGCTATAAAATAATGTGTACATCATAGGTGTCAGGGGAGAAGGCCAGATGTGTCTGGACTCAGGAACACTGAGTACTGTATCTCCGCTCCCATTCACCCTTTTCCTAAATATATACCTTACTCATAGCTTTCAGCTGTCCCTATTTGGAGGGACTTGCCCTCTTTGGAACCATATCCAACTGATCCTCTTTTTCCTTCATTTGTCCCTCTTTTGTTTCTGTTGTATAGATTTCGATCTCTATAGAAAAAATATTATATAGCTATCAAAAGTGTTTTACTGCACTAAACCTTTAAAACTTTTATCTAACCTTTATTTTATATACAGTATATAATAAATGTTATTATTCAATTTGTTGTTTTTTAATGGCAAAATAAAGAAAAAGTAGTGATGGAAAAATGCAATTTTGGGTTAAACCAATCATTTATTTGTTCATTAACCCTCATGGTCCACGTTACTAGAGGTGTGGCAGGGGGATGGACCTTTGCCTACATACTTCATTATATAATGTGTACCTTCTTTGCATCTCACAAAGTTAGGAGGTTTTTTGGGGGTACACCGGGATGCACTTAGTCCATTAAAAATGTTCCTCCTATCCCTCCTTGCTGTGTAGACAACAGCCATGGTGATAATACATGGACAGCAAAAAACATCCTTTTCCTTTCTATGCCACTGGTGGTGACTCTCAGTAAGGAATTATTTTTTCATAGTATTAAAAGAGAACTATGGGATGAGTAAAATACACTCATCCTCATAGTTAGAGCGATGTGTGACACTGCAGCTGTCACATGTTGGCTCTATTAATCGAGAACTGAGCGATCACATACCGCTGAGCGCTCAGTTCATGATCGTCTCCCTGCAGAGAGCTGTGACTGACCCACAGGGATTTCTCCCTCCCCTCTCTGGTTTTCCAGCGCTGACTGGAGCTACAGACAGGGGAGGTCACAGCTGGCTCTGGCCAGCTGTCAATCAGGCAGCAGGGTGGATCCCAAAAATATTGCCTGGATTTTTCCCAGCTGCAGCATGGCTCTGCGCTGTCAATATATAGCGGGCATTTGCCCGCTATATGCTACATTGTGGGTCACAGGAGGACATTCATAAATGTTCTTCTGTGACCCTAAAGAGAACTATGGCCAAAAAAGGTTTGGCCATAGTTCTCTTTTAAGCTGGGGGTTGAAAGGGGAGGTTCAGGGTCATCCCTGGATTTCTTTAGCTATTAAATCATGGAACTCAAAGGACAACTCCTAAAAGCTGGGGTGTTCTAAACAATAGTTATTAACATATAAGAAGGATGACTAAAATAGGAATTAATCAGGAATCATAGATTTAAAATAATTATCTATGTAATGCATAATAATACAGCTACAAAAATAATTATTCTATTGTCTTTTTTTGGTTGTTATTCAACAGAGAGCAGTGTGAGAGGTCTATATTAAAATGTTATCTGTATTACTATTTACTTTATGACTCCTCAGCCCAGAACTATAGCTAGGAGAAAGTTGCATCTTCCTGTTATGACATGCACAGAAGGGAATCCATGATTGTAGATTGATCCATTTCACTCACAGATTAGTACTCACCAAGCTGCATTGGGGCATGGCTAACAGACCGATATTCAACTGGTCCAATAGCGCACCCTGAATACCCTAAAGCACAAAGGAAAGTTCTGCCTTTCCCCAGGGTACTTTTTTCCACACAAAGACCCTTCGCATACTAAAGGTGCCCATACACTGCTCGATTCTCGTACGAGAATCGCAGGAAATCCCGCGATCGTACAAGAATCGAGCAGTGTGAACGAAGACGTGCGACCGTTTCTACTGTACGGTCGCACGTCTTTTGTCTAAGGAGCACACTAGAAAACCAGCCGAAAATCGTACGATTTTCGGCTGGTTTGAACGGTGCTCGGGAGACACTGCCCGTTCAGCATTGCGGTCATTGGAAGCCCACCCCTCAGGGGTTGGGCCTGCGATGATCGAGAGTGCGATCTGCCTGTCCAAGATGGGCAGATCGTACGTTTTTTTAATCACTTTACAACCATCGCAAGACTAAGGTCTTGCGATGGTTGTACAGTGTATGGCCACCTTTTACAATGGCTTTTCTCATCTGGTTTCAGCTGCAAACTGATTACTGGGCAGCTCCTCTTTCAGCTGTTTAGCAGAAAATGTACAGCATAGAGACAGATTGATTTGCATTCTTTCATTTTAGAATTTACAGAAACTGAAGGGGGTAGAATAGAAATCACCTGAACCACTTTCAGATGGAATCCTGATGCAAACACTTCTTTCTACCCACTTCACAGGTGCACATACTGCCATTTTTTTTAAGTGGCCAGTTGCTGGTTAAACTGTCTGCAGTTTGTAATCATATCTATTTATTAATGATTGCATTTTAATGGGACATGAAACATTAAAAATGAATGAAATTGTATTTAAATGTTCCTCTTTTGTTAATGCGCTAAGTCTCCTTTATTCTCTTCTATCCAGAGTGAACTATGGATGGTGATAGGAGAATCATCACATGATGGCAAATTTTTAAACTACTTTTTTAATTTTGTTTTATTTTCATGCCACTATACTGTAAGTGATCTTTATTGGTGTGAAATTACTCTCAGCAGATGTGGCAAGATATTCCTGCCAGAGGAGAGCTCATTTCTCAGAGGATTCTCTATAATGGAGACTCCAGCAGGAACAGTATATTGATAGTGCAATAGCTTCTGCATTTGGTCAAGTTTATAAATTTGTTAGGTAAATTCTGAGATAAAAAACTGACAAGAAGATTCAGGGGTGGCTGCTTAAATATGAAGTATAATGTTTGCATTTAATATACTGATATTTCTTACTGCAGTTTGTAAAAGAAGTATGTCTAAAGTCTATGTTTAAGTGTCTAAAACAGATAACAAGTTTGTATTGGGGAATTTAAGGGACATTGATCAGAAAAAAATGAATGCCGATAGGTGCATTTTAATATTCATCAGCGTTACCTAATGTTATTGCAATGGACTAATAAAGCTAAGTAAAATGAATTACCTGTTAAGTTCATGTAATATATCACATTTTGGTTAAAAGTTCTTCTTTTAACTTCTATTTTTTTGTATTCTGTGGCAATAGATAAGGAACAGCTGTCACATTTTAAAAAGCTTTGCTGAACTGATGCTTGGGCCACGTATATCAATGTTCTCTGTTTATAGTGCTCTTGCACACTGTACTCATGAATGAAGTCTGGTGGCGTAGACAGAATGTCTGCCAACAGGACATAATGTGATTCTGATCCTTCAGCCCCTTCCAAAAGCTTATTGAGATCGGAGAGGTAGAATTAAGGCTTCACTTGCTAGACGTTCTGCTGCAAATCAGTGTAAACTCAAATCTTAGCGCTTTAATTCTAATCAATAAACATGAGCTAGAGGATAACTTACTGTGCATTGTTTAGAACTTAATAGCTTACCTGCATAGCAGAAACTATTTAGAACAACTACGTAGTTAGAGATAAACTCTACACTGGTAATACAGACACAAATAAGTCAGCTCTGTATTCATTATTAAATTGTTAAATGCATGTTTTAATGCAACTAGTGCAAGCACCTGCATTTAACTTGATATCAGCATTTTGCATCCCCTGTAAAGAAGCTCTTATAGAGGGAGTGGCAGAACTAGGAACCAAGGCGGTGTGCTGCATGCAAATGTTGGGAAAAAAAGGTGGCAAAAGGAGAGAGGAGAGACGTGACTGTATCTGTCTGCTGCTGCTCTTTGACTGTCCAATCAGCATGCTGGGGTTGTAATGCTACACAGCAATTTTGATCTGTAAATGGTGTTATCAGCCTGGGTGTGCTGTGTGATGGGCTGTGTAAATTGCAGGACTGAATGGACAGAAATATAAATGCTTGGGCAGGTCAAAAACCTGTCTTATATGCATTTCATCTGTACATTTATCTGTTTGTCTGGTGTTCAGCCTTAAATAAAGAACTCTAGCTACTATTGCCAACTGGATTTACTATTTTGCCCTTCGTTTTGTTTGTAATGTAATTGTTTTGTAATGTAATACACACAAAACAGTAAGATATTATTACATCCAGCTACAGATGAATAACCTGAACAGTGGTTTTCTAATACAACACTTTCTGTGGTCCTGTTCGGAGCTTTAGCAGATCATTTATAATGCATGGTTACAGTGATCTATTAAAAGGTTATGCTCAGACCCAAAGAAGTCATGGTCTCAATTACAGCTGCCCATGCAGCACCCACTAATCCTAGATTACATCTTTCAATACAAGGAACCCCCTTTGGGGAAAGGGGACTTAAGGAGGAGCTTTATTGTTATTGTAAAAATTACAATAAAGGCCTTATAAGAAATGTTTATAACGGCAATCTACAAACAGATACTTATAGATAATTGCAGGCTCATTGTTTCCATACCTTATTTTCCTATTCCTCCCCATTCTTGCCACTGTTGCCATTTTAATTAGGGTAGATGAATCTACCTTTACTTCCTGGAACTCTGGGACTACCTCCTGGAACATGTGACAGTGCACATCATCTGAGGGGGGGAAATTAGGAAAGCTAGGAAATATTTAACAGTAGGCATGTCAAAAAGCAGTCCAGCTAAGAAATGGGCAGTAGACACTAGCAATGTTCAGATCAAAGAGTATCTGAAGGAATCATTTTTTTAACGAAGGCTGGATGAAGACAGGACAACCAAATATGGAAATTGCCATGACTAAGTAATGATTAACATGGTGCTCCATCAATGCTGGTATCATTATTGCACAATGAAGATGAGGAGGGAGCCAGAACAGAACAAAAAGATTGGAACAGGGTTTCTTAACTTTCTGATGGACATTCCTCAATAATGGGCATGCCTCATCCTATGTAGATAACATCATCACCCAATCCTAACTAAATCAGATAATTGTCATTCCATGTCTATAGGCAGATAGGCACCACCACTCAGTCTAAAGTAAATGTGACCTGTATTGCATGTAGGTGCAGTTGCCATCCACTGTAATTTTGAATTTGAAGGAAAATTACCTCATTAAGCTTGAATTCAGTGGGGTTTAAGTACTAAATAAGTAGGGAATTCAGCTTAATTACTGAGTTAACTTAGCCCTGATTGAAATGACCAGAGCTGCACCTTACTTACTTACAAAGCAAAGTAACAATATACCGGCATTACAAAGCCTGATATAACTCGTCACGTACAGTGTACGTGGCCAGTCATATAGGCACAAAGTGACAAAACGTACACTGTACGTCTCCCGTCACGAAGGGGTTAAGCCTTTAGACTCAAATTGTAAAAAAGAGCAGTAAAGCACAACCACAGTGGAGCACTGCAACAAAGGAAGCAGAGCTTGCATAAGTAAATATTGTTGCATATAGGAGGTATGATCAAAAAATACGGTGAATGTTTAAAAAAGATCAATTACAGTAACAGTAATAGCAAAAGGTTTCCCAGCACACTCACCAGCCAGCATGCAAAAAAACTTGTCTCACCGCTAAGGTTAAAAACAGAGGTTTAGATACACATCTTCTGCAGAAAATGTGAAAGCCGCACAGCCGCGCCAAGGCACCTATATATAGTGCGGTCCTAACTCTAAACTATGAGAGTCTGCATCTTGGAGCACATGTAGCAAAAGATCAAATTGGGTGCAGGTTTATCAGGAGGAAGACCAACCTCCCTTAAAGGCACCGGTACGCACAAGGGACCCCGCACATCACAACGGCAGCTGAGACCCCCCATGCATCACTGCATCAAATCAGTCAGGCAAAACAAATGGCAAACGCACTCATCAATTTGTTACCAGCTTTACAGCAAGGTGCACATGGAAGGGCTTTATACAGTACAACAGCAAAAAGTTTCACAGCACACTCACCAGCCAGCATGCAAAAAAACGTGTCTCATCGCTAAGGTTAAAAAGGTCTAGATACACGTCTTCTGCAGAAAATGTGAAAACCGCACAGCCATGCCAAGGCAACTCTCCTGACAAACCTGCACCCAATTTGATCTTTTGCCATATGTGCTCCAACATGGAGACTCTCATAGTTTAGAGTTAGGACCGCACTATCTAGAGGTGCCTTGGCGTGGCTGTGCGGCTTTCACATTTTCTGCAGAAGACGTGTATCTAGACCTTTTTAACCTTAGCGATGAGACACGTTTTTTTGCATGCTGGCTGGTGAGTGTGCTGGGAAACGTTTTCCGATTACTGTTTAAAGCCCTTCCATGTGCACCTTGCTGTAAAGCTGGTAACAAATTGATGAGTGCGTTTGCCATTTCTTTTGCTTGACTCATTACAGTAACAGACTCATTGCCATTTTATGTTAATGCGTTGTTCATGATCCATGATTTTTCACACCTTCTTTCAACCGTAGCTCACAACCGACTGACTGCACCGAACAAGTTGAAACTTGTCACGCACTGTTACTAAGGTTGAATGCACCGCATTGCGTATTGAAGATCCCTGCCTTTCCGTTGGATGGCACTCGGCAGCAGCATTCACTGTATTTTTTATTACACTTCGTAGGAGAGTTAAGATGAAAAATATGGTAGGTGTAGACATTAGATAATTGCTACTAGATTCAACAAGGTCACAGAGGATTACCACGAGGGTTCACAAGCACCTTCACACTCCTACAGACACAATCAATAGATTTAAGGGAAAACCTAACCCTTAAAATTGCTAGGCACCAGAGACATTTACATACAGGCGTGCATAATCAGAGTCTAAAAACATTTTTTAGATTTTTTTCCAAACAATTGACATGCTTTTGACCAGCAGAACTCCAAGCATGTGTAAGTATGGAGGTGAAAATGATGAAACCTGAAACATTTTTTTAAAATAAGAAAGTAATTGTAAATGTGTAGCAAAGTTTAAAACGTGGGATTGATTTGGGAATACATTCATTGAAATACCATTAGTTGGACAGTTAAGAATCCTGTACTGGTTAGAAAGAATAGAAATAGTGTTGTAAAAGCCGAGAATTGTATAGCTTGGGATTAGGGAAATTGACAAAGTAGGGGAGTCATAATCATGGATGGATTTGCACTGCTGGTGATCTGAGATTATGGAATGCTGTCAAGACTAGAACTTACTCTCCTCATTAATCTGGTGGGTGATGCAAAGTTCACCCTCTCGCCAAAGGTGAACAGTGTATTCAGTATTTCCCCCTACAGATACTCACTAATGGATCTCCAAATGATAAATCTGTTGATAGGTACTACATACTGATTTTTCTTCTTTGTATCTCTGGCACAGATCGAGTTGCCCAAAATATCATAAAATCCCACTTGGAGACGTGTCAATATACAGTTGATGAATTACATCACTTAGCTTGGCAGACCCATAGTTATGAAGAGATCAAAGTATACCAGAGCAAGGTATAGTATAAAGGGTTAAAACGTAATGCTACCTGATGTTTGTTTAACACACATTTATCACTTATTAGTAAATATCCACCATATATTTGTCAAAATCACTTATATATTGATAAAAAAGATTTACATAACACTACCAGTACTGTGTTGTAATATTTCTAAAACATGCAACCAATAAATGTTAACATGATGAATTGTACTCCAATTAATTGACCAGCACTCTTCTCCAATGATTTACATTTGGTAGTAACGTACAGTAAAGTATTCTCTAGTTTATGACTGATATCTCCTGTTGCTATGTGATTCATGTGATACACACATACAGAAAAAAAGCATAGCAGTTATCTGTAGTAATTTTCCATGAGACTTCAGGATAGGTTAGCCAGCTAACTGCAGCTTAAGTTAGCCAGACCAGTGCAAGTGTATTTCTATTCAGCTGCTTGAAATGACTTCCCTTTGCATATTTGTTAACATTTTATTTTATTGCAAATAACCAGTAAACAAATCTTCACAGTCAGTCAAATTTACATTGTGACATGAAAAGTATATATTTACTGAAACCCTTTGTACTTTCTTGTCAGTGTAGTGCGCTTGTGCTATAGAATGTAGAAATAAAAATCTGTACAAACTGTATCTATAGAAAGCTATTCCTCCACTGACCTGTTGTTTGAGCCCAATGTTTTAGAAATAATGTTGTATTATAAATAACCTTTTAACTACAAGAAAACGATAAACAACTAGTTAGTACTGTTTCCTGTTCTTTTCTCATTGTATTGTCTTGTCTTCTGAAATATATCAGACTGCCATTACGTTTTAAGAGGCAACGTAATTTAGGAAACTTTTGGGCTTATTTAATGAACTGTTACAAAGATGATGTGCAATGTCTAGTAATGCAACAACCAACTTGTCTTCCGTTTCTGAGAGCAGCTTAAAGTGTATATATAGCCTAAACTGTTTTTGTTTTTCATCAAGTAGGGAAGAGTTAGTCCCTTGTCACGTATGTATTGTTGTCTGTGTCCCAAATAGGTTAATTCACCTGTGTGTTCATGTCACTGAGAAAGTAAGTGATGGGAAATCCAAAATCACCAAAAAAAAATCATGAAGGTAAATATTTCTGGTGACAAGGTCTAAGAGGGAAATTTACCTCACTTTGTAGAAATTTCTTCTCACTTTCTGTTGCGTCTCCAAGACAGGAAATAAAGAGGAATCTTTCCAATGGGACACTGGCAGCAAAAAACAAATTGACTCCCTGCCCCAGATGCTCCTGGTCAATGCACAGAAATAATTTTTTATATCAAAAGAAAAACAACCTTTAGGGTTTGTATTGATGGGCTTTTGTTCATCTCAACCTGGTTTTGCATTCTAATACAAATCTATAGGAATGCATAACCTGCATAAAGCATGCCAAAAGCAGCAGAGAGGGAGGTCACTGCAGGTCAAATGTACCTGTCAGTACATTCTTAATGATCTCAGAAGCATCTCAAACTGATGTCCAATTGATGCCATCAACACAAGGCCAAGGTCCATTAACACAGGCCCTTAAGTTGATTCTAAAGTTGCTGTCACAGGAGTGCTCCGATCTTCTTCTTACTGTTCTCTCTTGATGGACAATCAGAGAGCAGTGGCATTCAATGTCTTAGCATCACTGAGGTGTGCACCTGCACAGGGACCACATGTCTCAGAAGCCATTGTGTTGTGAAAGGCTTAAGGTTGTAATGAATGAGAGGCCCAGTGCTGTCCTTACCTCTCTTTGTAGCATGCAGAGCATTTATGAGAGCTGTATCTGCAGGCAGCTAGAGAAGAGACCTCAAACACTGTATGTAGGCATTTCTGGGCTGGGCATGAACATTACAATGTCACTAGTAATGCCAAATTGCAGTGGTAGGGACATGAATACATCACCCCTGTAATCTAGATAACCACAGGGGGGCATATACAAGACAGCCAGCAGGTACAGGAAGTGTGATCCTGGATGTTGCACAGCCAGGAATTAATTCTACAGATGGGGAGAGCTTTCTAGAGGATTGCTGGACTACATGGAGCTGTCTTTAAAAAGGAAGATGATGGAGTCACTACACCCTATGCAAATTGCAAACTGGAGTTCCACTTTTATGAAAGTTGATTACTGACGTGTTGCTATGAATTATTTGACCCTGCACATTGTTTAATTCCTTATTGAGTATAACAGATTATGCATTTCTTATACTAATTTGTCATAATTCAATTTTAATTTATCATAGTATTCATAAATCTACTTTTAACACTAGTTTGGTGCTTAAGATATAATGGTGCAATAATCATGTAATTGTGATGGTTCATTGTGAATAATTCTGATGTCCCTATTGGTGAATTACTAAGATATTATTTTGGCTTATACAACTTAGGCAATAAATTGAGGTTATAGTATTATTGTTATTATTACCATCATTGCATAAAGATAATTGCATATGGATATTAGATATTTATTTTTTATTGAAGGTACACTGTAGTCAAAATTGGAAATGAAGCCTTGAGATGCCTAAAGGGAGCTTAGCTTACCTGCTGAGTGCTTCACATTTTCATCTGGGCATTGCCATAATGCACCAATCCACCTTGTCCCTTTCAATAACCTGGTGATCTGAGAAACCTTGCCTGTACAACATGGGAGCAATTCCTTTCTGTTTGCGGAATAGTATTAGTAGCTCCCTCAGAGGCTTTATTTGTTGCCTGAAATTGCTCATTAAATTGTTTACATTGGACACACGGCAAAGGTAGATCAATGATTAGGTGTTCGGCGGGCATGGTTTCATCATAATAGGTGCAAGTGCTGACAAACACATTCACATGTTCACCCTCTCCCTCTCTGCTATAACTATCTTATAAATGCAGATTCATTAGATCAACCATCAAGTGTAAAATAAAAACAGCCCAGTCACATTTTCAAAATTAATTTTCCTGACATATATAGTATTTGTCAGTAGAAGTACATTTCATCTGATGTATCATTTCCAGATACTAACAGACTAAGGTTACACTTACAATAGCATACAGTACCTTCATAGCTACTGATAGTTTCTTAATCTGTGCTTTCTTAATCCCTGCATTACAGTTAACCCTTTATACTACAGATAAGCACATAATGTATGCTTCATAGAAAACTGTAGTCCATTTAATATTTTTGGATATATGGAACATGCAAAGTGAACCTGTCACAGTTAACATGAATCAGTAGGGTAACTGTCACTTTATTATTACATAAAGTACCTATTTTGCCAATGTACAGCAATTGTGCAGTACTACTAAGAAGGTGATATGACATTCACTACACAGTCAGTGGTCATTCATTCACTGCATTTATAACACACAGCCTCTGGAAACATTCACCTGCACATTCACTGGATCAAGCATCATTCGTGTGTTTTAAAGGTCAGGCAGTGCAAGAACTGTATAAAATTGGTCCTTTGGCACTCAGTAGTAAAGTCACTCTGTTATCCCATAGTTTCCACATGACATACAATAAGTAAGCCTCACTAAATCTAAAAATGATATGTAAGGAAATCATCATACAGGCTGCTGACAAACTGATATGATTCATAATTTATAAACTAAAAAGGATTTTCTTTATCAGGAAAAAAAAACAAAAAAAAACAAAAAGATCAACCATCAAGTGTAAAATAAAAACAGCCCAGTCACGTTTTCACAATTAATTTTCCTGACATATATAGTATTTGTCAGTCAGTTATTAAATTCATATAACAGTTTCTATAATTAAAAAAATTATCACATAACATCTAAAAAACAGAAACAGCTCGCAAATCAGAAGAGATAGACAAGCAAAGCTGATTAGAAATACCTTTTTGGAGAGGAATATGCATCAAAGTTCAACTCCACTTTAGCTTTTTATTAATTTTTTAGTTGTCTGTCCATTACAAAAAATGAAAAAGCAGCTCTAACTGCAATACTCACCCCATTTTCAGCTGGTCACCTGCTGTAATTGTTTTCACCACTAGTTTTCTCTTAAAGTGCAATTTCATTGGACTCCTGTACGTGCACGGCTTTTCTCTTGAGAGTGGCATTTTCACAAAGGTGTCTATTCACAAAGCAGCCGAAGGATGTAGCCGTAGCTTCGGCCGATCCTTCGGCTAGCTTCGGCCCCAGGACCCCTTCGGTTCAGTAGAACCGAAGGGCTGCTGAACGGGCTATTCACTATAGCCGTACAGCTCCCGAACTTGGTCGAGCGGCTCAGTCGAGCCGAAGGCACATGCCTCGGCTGAGCCCCGCTGAAAGCCGAAGCTGGCCGGCCGTTGGCCGGCCGACAGCCTGCTTCTGACAGCTGGGCGGAGCCAGCCGCCATCCTCCGGCGTGCG